GCCTGGTGTTCAGCTAGGGGACCTGGTCCACAGAGCAGCTGTGCGGAAGGCTCGCACCTCCTGATTTTTACCAGATGTCAAGACAGATATTGAGTCTTAGTCTTAGATCTTACACCACAGTTGACTCTGTGATAACCTTGACATAGATTTAAATCTTAGTGATGATTGGGACTTAGAGGATAGAGAAGGGCCTCCCTAAAAAACACACCAGACACTCGACCAGGAGAGGGTGGGCCATGCGGTATGGCACTGGTATAATGGGGGCAGGAATTTAGGTAACCAATGCCAGGTTACCTAAATTCAGGTTACCAATGCCAGCCAACCTACTGGGTGGCTCAGTAGATTAAGTGTCTGACCTTGGCTCAGGTCATGATCTCAAGGTTCATGGGTTCAAGCCCTGAATCAGGCTCTATGCTGACACCTCAGCTTCCGATTCTGTGTCTCCCTCTCTCTCTCTGCCCCTCCCCCACTCACGCTCTCTCTCAGAAATAAATACTTAAAAAAACTTTTTTTTAAGATAACCAATGCCTGTGGCAATTGGCAAGAGCTCTATTTGCACTCTGTAACTAAAGCAGGAATTCTGTGAGGCGCTCATCATCCCTTTTGATTTAACCTGTTGCCTAGACAGTAGATGGAAATTCCATCGAGTGGCTTCTTTTAGAGCCAGGCATTGTGTCCTAAGAAGTGAAATGAATGTCTTGGTCACCAGCAGTAATGTCTGGAACTCCAAAGGGGATAGAGAATATTCTAGTGAGGCCTGATAGTGTGGCCTTACTATGTGTAGAGACATCTTTACCTTGATTTATATTCTCTTCATCTGTGAGGCAAGAGATTCCCAGAGTTCTGTCCCAGAATGTGCAGGTCTTAGGCAGTGGTCTAAGAGTTTGTATTAAAAAAAAAAAGTGTGGACGGGGCCATTTTGTTGGGCCATTTGTCAGGCCATCCAGCACTAAGATAACCAGCTGGAGTCTGGCAGTCTTTTATCAGGAACGTGTGGACTAAGGGCTGGAAAGCATAACTATCCATGAGCGCCAGCACGTATGATGGTGGTGATAACACCTGTAAAATCTACAAATTCCCACTGCTGTTCGCTCGGTTGATCTGAAGGGACTCCCCAGGTAACTCGGGAATGTGAGAAGGGTGACTTCCTCCAGCACCGTGGCATCTGCAGATAGCCTGAGGATAGTGGAGGCCACGCCCTCCTATGGGTGGAATATGCCAGGAGGCCCACCTTTGGCTCCACTCAGTAGCAGTGAGGTCTCAGTAGCCATGTCAAACTTGTACAGAGCTGCTTCTGTGACCCAAGGCATAATGGGCAGCAGGGTATGGAGGCTTACAGATGCAGGGTCAGTGAGAGCCTCTACACTTCCAGAAGAGCCCGGCATGCAGCCGGCGGTCGCTGCCCTGCTGCTGTATAGAGAGAAGGGTCTAGCAGGGCAGTTTCATGCTTCAGAAGCACGTAGACAGCATATGGCTGTCATGGGTGGTCCAGAGACTTCAGGGGGTATATGAGGAGGTCATTTAAACTGTGAAGGGGTCTCTGGGAATGTGTGTTGTAGGCTTTTGTTAGACAGGGCCAAATTTATGGTGGAGCAGTTTACAAGTAACTGCATCAGTGGGAATTAGTAAAATATGTAAATGAGGAATACATTGCCACCAGAACTCCCCGCAAACTAGATGTTGGACTTGTATTAACTTGTATTAGTCACTGACAGGGTCCATAACTCTTTATTTTTTATTTTTTATTTTATTTCAGAGAGAGAGAATGAGTAGGGAAGGGGCAGAGAGGAAGAGAGAGAGGGGATATGAGGGTTTCCTAAACAGGCTTCCATGCTCAGCACAGAGCATGACGAAGGTCCCATAACCCTGGGACCATGACTTGAGCCGAAATCAAGAGTCAGACGCTCAGCTGACTGAGCCACCCAGGCATCCCTTAAAGTTTTGTTTTTGTTTTTTACTTTTGTAGCTCTTTTTTATTTTAATTTTTTAACATTTATTTATTTTTGAGAGAGAGAGACAGAGCATGAGTTGGGGAGGAGCAGAGAGAGAGGGAGATACAGAATCCGAAGCAGGCTCTAGGCTCTGAGCTGTGAAAACAGAGCCCGACATGGGGCTTGAACTCACGAATCGTGAGATCATGACCTGAGACAGAGTCGAACGCTCAACCGACCGAGCCACCCGGGCGCCCCTATTTTCATAACTCTTTATTGACCATGTCAGAGATGGAGTTGCCCTTAGTTTACCAAAAGATTCTCAGGAATTTAACCACGGTGGTAGGGCCGTGCACTGTGTGGAGGCCAACGTCCTGATCCCTTTCTGTGAGCTCTTTTGTGGAGATTTGTATGGCTTGGATGAATATATCAAATGGATATCCTTGGAGGAGGATGTCATCCATGTAGTGGCATACCCATGATCCTGAAGAAGGTTGGGTGCAGTTAAGAGCTTGCCTGCAAAGGGGCGCCTGAGTGGCTTAGTCGGTTAAGCGTCCAACTTTCGCTCAGGTCATGATCTCGCGGTTCGTCGGTTCGAGCCCCGCGTCGGGCTCTGTGCTGACTGCCAGCTCAGAGCCTGGAGCCTGTTTCAGATTCTGTATCTCCCTCTCTCTCTGACCCTCCCCTGCTCACGCTGTCTCTCTCAGAAATAAATAAAACATTAAAAATTTTTTAAAAAAGAGCTTGTCTGCAAAGACTGTGTGCTAGGGCAAGGTTGTTAGGTACCCCATATGTAGCCTGGTCACCATGTATGGGTGCCTTTGGAGATGAAGGTGCGTGGCACCTGAGAGGTTGCTAAAATAGACACTGAACAGAACATATTAGCCAAATTGGTAATCGCCAGATATTTATTAGTGGCTGGTGGGATGGAGTCAGTAATTTCAAACAATACTGGGTACTGGGTCTGGGACCTTGAAGGACAGGAACCCTGTATTAAGATCACAGTAAGGTACTGTGGGGCACCGTTCATTGTCTTTCGGGTTTAAGAACAGGCCAGATTCAGCTATTAAATGGAGAAGTAGCAGGCAATCCTCCCTTCACTCATCAGGTTTTATACCGTAAGTTTTGATCTTTGAAGGTCCTGTTTAATTTCTGTTGGGCCATGTTAGGTATTTGAACTGAGAGGTCCACAGGGTCTCATTTTGTTCAAATCAATTTCTAACTGTAAAGATTTAATTTAATATGAATTTGTCGGGTTGGAACCACCATGCCCATGAGGGTAATCTAAGGCAGTGGGTGCTATGACTGTGGGAAAATGAGGCGAAACTGTAGTTCTTTTGGTAAGGGGAAGTTGTGGCTATTTGTCCTATTTCACATTCAGGAACTCTCCTAGGATCATGTGGGGACCCTGTGTTTACATTTTACTGGCATCTCCAAGCGTAACTGTCGTTGGAGCCCCAGGACTGATGAAGTCCTTGAGGGTTTGCGGGTGCATTTCAGCAGACAGTAAAGCTCATTCAGAACTGACCTTGTCAGCCACCGAGGTCTCCGCACTCTCTTACCTGTTAGCTGTGTAAGTTATTTTAGTAAATGTTGGGTTTCCCATCGGGTCAAACTATGGAGCTCTGCTTGTAGTCCTTTTTTCCTTTCTTCTCCTCCTCCCTGGCGTCCAGGATTCTTTCTGTCTTTCTTTCATTTCCCGTCCCCTTTCCTTTTTGCATCACTGGATAAACTCTGGGTGCAGGTAGGTGGGGGAATCCTCCACTCCGCTCACATTTCTGCATCTCCTCCTCCACAGAGCCTCAAATCAGTACCACTGGGGTTGGGGCCCTCCCTGGGCAGCGGTTTCTTTCCTCTGGTTTCAGGACCCCGGGCTTGCGTCAGGCTCGAGCTAACCCCATCCCGAGCCACAGGGGTGCCGCGGGGTTCCCCTCTAACTCGGACCATCAGGGTGCTCGTTGCAGCCAGGCAGAGGTGGCTGCGCAGCCCAGCGGGCGATGGACTGAAACCGAGCTTTGCCGCAGCCCTGCCTTTTCTTTGTTTTTTTGTGATTTCTGTACAGGTTCCCTGGGGGTGTTTCTACTTGTACCGTATAAAGGCTCGGCGTTCGCTTTTTGTCTCTGATCATTCAGGGTGCAGACTTTCTAGGTGTTTACAAGGAGAGGCTCGGAGGCCTACCTTGCGGGGAGCCGCCTCTTCCCCCAGGGAACACCAGTCAGTCTGCGTGGGGTTGGGTCCACCTCCAATAAGGGCATATTGTTATGGGACCGTCAGGCCCGTGACTGCAGGATGGGCCCTTTAGTGTCCCGTGAGCAGCTGCGCGGAGCCCAGGCACCCTGGCTCATAGGTGGAATCCTTAGAGCACACCCACCAGCCATCAGTTGAACCTGACAGCACATCACATGGGGGTATAGTCAATATCAGTTTTCACCTTGGGGACGAGGACATTTTAGGTGGGAGGAGAGGACAAACACCGAACGAAGCCAACACACGACGCTGCGCAGGCCAAGTGCAAGTCAGCCAGCGATCGGCAGTTCTGTCCCAGGCAGCGTCTCTGCGCCGGGGAAGTTAGTTACATCTGATGAAGTGTCTCCCATAGTGGTTGGACCATGCTGTTCACGAGGCCAGCTGTTCGGAGGCCCTCCTGTTCGCCCTATTGGTGAGGGAGGGATCCTGCCCAGAGGTTATGGGGATGGCCACACATGCCTGGCACGGGACAGATGAGATCGACAGGAGTCACTTGTCCTCACAGCCTGGGGGAGGGGAACACAAGCAGGCTCACATCCCACGGGGCTGCCCTCGGGCACAGAGCAAGCCCCGGGCCCTGTAGGCGGTGAGGGTGGCGGTAGCAAGAGGAGGGAGCATCCCTGGTCCCCTGGGGAGGATGTGACCGGCTCGTCTGAGTGATTCAGTGGGCTGGCGGGGAACTGAAGCTCAGTCCTCAGGGGTAAGTAGGGACCATGCTGACCAGATGTCAAAGCGACACATAGCACCGAGTCCCAATCACAGGCCTCCCTCCGCAGAGCGTGCCCTTTCCTTATCAAGCTTTGTGTCTTTTCCCCCCTCCAGCTGAGGAATGTGATCCAGTTACTCTGAACAGCCCAACAAATTCCGACGCACAACATCAGGTAAAAATCATTTCGGTTATATTTTCACCCTTAGGTACATGCTAATCCAACTGGAAAGTCTTAGAGATTCTCTTCCAGAGCTTTGAAAGAAGAGGATTTTGAGGTAATAAAATAAGCCTGGAAATTATCTTGAAGCTTCCCCATTGAATGTCATCTCTTGTGACTTTCAGTATCTCTGGTACCTTTAATCCGTTCTTTGAAAGGAATATTTATCTGTATGCTAAACACAGACCATCAGCGTTTGTTAAGCCACAACCAAACTGGATAGTTCCATGCCGTTTTTGTAATTTTTTTTTTTTTTATAAAACTTGTACTTTTTTCAGATACCAGAAGTCAAACTTGATCACATCATTTTTATTGTCTTTTTCCAAAAAGCAAATCCATGTGTTGCTTTCTGATTGTAAAAGAATGTTCTTTTAAACTTCAGATAGGACAGAAATGTACCCCTACAATTGAGAATTGCCTGTCATTCCACCGTTCGCCTTCTGAGGTACATCCTTCCAGAAGCTTCCTTGGGTCACCGTGTGTTTCAGTCACTTCTGGTACTGTCCAGTCCATTTCTTTCCACTCGCTCAGAGCTTATTAGCCAAATTGCACAATGCTGCACATCTGCTGAACTATATTTAGAGTGTCAAATGTCTCAAAAAGCCCGTCTTGCCTCACGATGGCTGGCTGGTTCCGTCCTGCCTGTTCAGTAACACCAAGTTAATTCTTAGCAAGACAAATTGGAAGTTGTGTTTAGGCTTGTTTGTCAAACGTCAGTCTGTCATATGTTATTAATAGTGACACTCCTGGATGGTCAAATCACCTTTGTAGTAATGCAGAGTTGTACGGTAGTTGATAAAACAGTCTATTTTAATCATATACAGCTCTCTTGAAAGTGGTCAGTGACCCCGCTTTTAACTCTGGCTTGGGGCTCTTCAGTCACCGACTGTGAATATCGTGCTTATTTTTTGTAATTTTTTAATGTTTATTTATTTTTGAAGGGGGGGGCTGAGAGAGAGGGAAACAGAATCCGAAGCAGGTTCCAGGTTCTGAGCTGTCAGCACAGAGCCTGACACGGGACTCGAACTCCCAAACCGTGAGACCATGACCTGAGCTGAAATCGGGTGCTTTACCGACTGAGCCATGCAGGCACCCCTCATATTCTTGTTTGTTAATCCTCAGCATTTTCCTCGGAATTACAGTCTAAGGATTGACTTTGGCACTGACTACATTTAAACCACTTTAGTGAACCCAAAGTATGAAATTTTCTTTTCTTGCGCTCTTCAATTTATTTGGCAAAGTTTTGCCCCTCACATGTTTTGTAACATGATACAGACTCCCACGAAGATACAAGAATGGTGTTTGTTTAGCTTGCTTTTAGGGATTTTCCAAAACCAGTTAAGATTAGGTGCAGAGTATACCTTAGGACGCTGTTCACTAGTTTTTTTAAATTAAATTTTAGTGTCCTAGGTCTGGTTGTATGAAGTAAAGACAATCCTAAAAGATGAAAAATAGATTTTTCAGCAAATACAAAGGGAAGAAACCTATTTGAGGTTTTTTCCCCCAGTTCTGTTTTAAAAGAGAATGTCTCCTATTCCTGTGAAAAGTAGGACTCTACCTCACTACTTCAGTTAGTTATTTATTTGTGTAATCTATAGGATTTGTTCTAACTGCTAGGTATCCAGAAGAATTCTTTGAAACCAACTTGGCAGGTAGAACAAAGAAAACTCACTAGGGCAGAAACATTAAAAAAAAAAAAAAAAAAAAAAAAAAAAAAAAAAAAAAAAACCAAAAAAAAAAAAAAAAAAAAACAGAAACAAACAAAAACCCCCACACTCTAGTTTCTAGAGCTCAGACTTTAAATTTTTTTTAATGTTTATTCACTTTTTGCGAGAGAGAGAGAGAGAGAGAGAGAGAGCGCGCGCGTGCACGTGCGCGCGTGCACACACACAAGTGGGGGAGGGGCAGAGAGAGAGAAAGACAGAATCTGAAGCAGGTTCCAGGCTCTGAGCTGTCAGCACAGTGCCTGATGCAGGGCTCGAACTCACAGACTACGAGATCATGACCTGAGCTGAAGTTGGACACTTAACCGGCTGAGCCACCTAGACGCCCCTCTAGAGCTCAGACTTTAAAAGCAAGCTAATAATTTGCTCTTTAGAATATTCAACACTTGGTGTGTTCATTTTTGTCATTTTAAAAAACTGACCTCTAGCAAAAGCGCCTCCTCTATTTATATTATTTGGTTTTACCAAACTAAAGGGTTTTCTTTTTCTTTTTTCTTTCTTTGTTTTTAAGTTTTAGAAACCACATGAAGGGACTGGTTTAGTTAGTTGTGATGAAAGGATCATGCTAACACGAGATGTTAATAATGAAGGAAATTGAGTGTAGGGTGTACAGGACCTCTCTCTACCATCTTCTCCAGTTCTCTGTAAGTCTAAAGCTATTCTAAAGTAAAAACATACTTTAAAAACCACAGTAAGTAAAATTTAGAATGTAGAAAAATGAAAAAACTCTTTCACAATTCCATTGCTCTTAATATAACCATTTTTTTTTTTTTTTGCCATTTGGATGTATTTCCCTGATACTTTTTTTAATATGAGTAATTACAAAACTGTCAGTGAGCTCGCTTTTCTTATGTAATCTCACCAACATTTTTAAAGTTTATTTATTTTGAGAGAGAGAGAATGAGGGGGAGAGAAAGAGAGAGAAAGAGAGAGCCAAGCAGGCTCCACACCATCTGCCCAATGCAGGGCTCAACCCACGAACTGTGAGATCATGACCTGAGCTGAAGTTGGACACTCAACTGACTGAGCCACCCAGGCGCCCCTGTCTCATAAACGTTTTATCCAGTTTGCTACATGGCCTTGCCATCAGTTTGAATAGGTCCATGGTGTGATCATTTCTGACACAGAAGTAGATTCTAGGATGCGTGTGAGGCAGCGCAAGGGGCTCCCCCGCCAGGAAGAGTGGCATATGTCAGTGCTCTGAGAGCTACTGACAAACACTTTGTCTGGAGCTGAAGTATTAGGAGATCCTAGGTGATAAGACTGAGGTATATGTTGGAGCCAGGGCCCCAGAGCCTTGAATGCCAGACATAGGTCAATAGAAATTACTGGGGGTTGTAAGTGGCCCATATGACCAGTCCCTCCCCAGGGGGACTGGAGAGAAGATGAGGGTAAATTTTAAGCCTGTGACTGGAAAATGTTTCTACCAAGAATGTAAATAGAGAATTCGGATAGAAGATACGATTCACGTGTTGCTGGGATTAAGTTCTGTTTGTGGGTTGTAGAAAAAGGAGATAAAGGTTTGTAGAGTTTGCGGGGTGTGAGATTTGTGGCGATGCCCGGCAGGTACTAGAGAACACAGCACTAGGTGCTGATTTAGGATGTTACAGTTGAAGCCTCAGGAGTGGACCAGACTGCCAAGGAGAGAGTCCTTGTAGAAAAGCAGAGAGAGGGGGCGCCTGGGTGGCTTAGTCGGTTAAGCGTCCGACTTTCGCTTAGGTCATGATCTCACGGTTCGTGGGTTCGAGCCCCGCGTCGGGCTCTGTGCTGACAGCTAGCTCAGAGCCTGGAGCCTGTTTCAGTCTGTGACTCCCTCTCTCTCTGACCCTCCCCTGCTCACGCTGTCTCTCTCTCTCCTAGAAATTAAAAAAAAAAAAAAAAAGAAAAGCAGGAGAGGAGCCGAGGCTGGAAGCTTGCGGAACAGCTCACTTTAGAGGCCAGTGGGAGAAAAAAGCGGAGACGCAGAAACCGGTCATAGAGACAAAAACCTAACTGCCAGGCTGAAAGAGGGACTGGGTGACCAGAAAGCCCGTGCAGTCCTGTAGAATTCCTTCAGGTGGCAAAGAAAAAACACTAAATTCTTGTTGGAAGGTGCTAGAAAATACAGGGGGGAAACTTCTTTTTTTTCAAGATGGGAAACCTCGGATTTTAAAGGATAGGGTGTTACCAAGGAGCAGAGAGATTAAAAACAGGAGGAGAAGTGCAATAATTAGTGGGCTTTGCTGTCCCTGTGGAAGGTAGAGAGGATTAACGTTCTTAGCAAATACTTATTGGTTATATGCTTAATGTTCTGTGGGGAACACACCTTGATTTCCCTCAAGGAACGTGTCCTGTGGCAGGGAATATAAGGTATGTGCACACACGTGTTGCATAAGTAGGGTTCTCTGAGGCACAGGTTAGCGTTTTAAAAGTGAGAACCTCAACTCTTTCAGAGACAGGATAAAAAGAAGCGGGATAGGTAAGGATACAAACATTCTTTTTCAGGTTTTTTTGTTGTTTTAGAGAGAGAGCGCAAGCAGGGGAGGGAGGTAGAGGGGAAGAGAGAGAAACTTTATTTAAAAATGTTTATTCATTTTGAGACAGAGGGAGAGAGAGCTCACACGCTTGAGCATGGGAGAGGGGCAGAGGGAGAAAGAGAATCCCAAGCAGGCTCCTTGCTCAGCACAGAACCCATTGCGGGGCTTGATCCCACGACCCTGAGATCATGACCTGAGCTGAAATCAAGAGTCCAAAGCTCTACTTACTGAGCCGGGTGCCCCACAAACATTTTTTTATATGTAAAGACTCTAGCAGCTGAGATAGCTGATGTCAGATTTGAGCTGGGTCTTGAATGGCAACACTTGAATGGAGCAGGAAGGGAGGAAGTCTAGCAAGGAGATTAGGGGGTTAAAGGGTTTGTTCTGTCCATACAGCAGGGAGGCCATAGGCCATTGTGAACAAGACAATAGCATGGTGGTGTTTGATAAATAAGATTGCAAGAGGAGAGATGATGCCACATCCATTCATCTGTCCACCCATCCGTCCACCCACCCATCCATCTATCCGTCCGTCTGTCCATCCAACCATCCAACCGTCTATCCACCCACCCACCCACCCACCCATCCGTCCATCCACCCACCCGTCCGTCCATCTACCCACCCATCCATCTATCCGTCCATCCACCCACCCATCCATCTATTCATCCATCCATCCATCTGCCTGCTCACCCATCCATTCATCTGTCCACCCATC